AGAGAGGGGGAGAGAGAGAGAAGACGGAGGAGGTCTTGATTGGCGACGGAGTTGAGGAACTCTGTTGCGACAAGCGGTGTAGCGGTCGGAGCTCTGATGCGACAGAGGTCTCGATCGGCGACGAAGATGAGGAGCTCTGGTGCGATGAGAGACGCTCTGGTGCAACAAGCTTGAGAGAGAAGATGGGGAAAGGGGGCAAGGGAGATGGCGTCGGCGGGACAATGGTGTTGGGGTGGAGGACGGTGGTGGTGGTGTCGTCGGAAATGAGAGAGGGGAGAGAGAGAGAGAGAGGTTTCGTGGGTTTAATTTGGGGTTCACCGTAACACACATATGTATTTGGTAGTTTCGTCATTTTATAGAAATTTATGTTTATGGATAAAATATTTTAAAATATTTATTTTTATAGACAGAATATTTTAAAATATAAATATTTAGAGAAAAAAAATTTAAATTTGAACTTGTGAACGCCCAAAATAAATTGATGTGTGGCTGGCTTTCATTTTACATATAGGCGACAACAAAGAGTTTAATTTGTTATTCACCAAATAAAATAAAAGATGTTTTAAAAAATTAGTAAAAAATTAATTTTTTAATTTATTTTGTCTTTTTACTAATAAATTATATAAGAAATGATGTAATTCAAAATGAATAAAAAGTTAGAAATTGAGGTTCTGTTTAGTAGAGTTTTAAAATTATGATTTGATAATAGAGTTGTATTTTGAGTTTGCGAGTTTTTGAATTATAATTTGAGTGTGAAAAATTTGTTTGGTTATGAGTTTTAAAAAGAGTTTGAATTGAGTGATATGACAAATAATATTGAAACGTAAATGTTTTGAAAAGCGTTTTGAAAAGTGAGTATGAAATTAATTTTCTGAAGCTGCAACCAAACAACACACTCAAACTAAGAGGTAGAATTACATTTCAAAAGCTGTACCAAACAGAACCTGACTTTTTACCAACTTTCTAAAAGGACTCCTGTGTAATCATATCGGTTTGTTTGATTTCATTTTTTAGAAAACATTTTTCAGAAAATTCTACATTCTTATTTTCCGTATTTTTTTGTTTTTATTGATTTTTTTTAATATTTTAAGCATTTTTTTTTACTTTTTAGACACACTTAGCATAAATACACCTAAAAAGTAAAAAAATTGTAAAAAAAATCTTTTAAAAATTCACTAAATATCAAAAATATAAAAAAAATACAAGAATTCGGTACATTTTTTGTATTTTTATGTATTTATTAATTTTTAAAAAGATTTTCTCACAATTTTTTTTTACTTTTTAGATAAATTTAACTAAAGTGCATCTAAAAAAGTAAAAAAAAAATATTTAAAATTTTAAAAATATTCACTAAAAATAAAAGAAATAATTTCAAAATTATTATTAATTTCAAAATAATTACACTTAAAATTTTATTCTTCAGGACTGCGTCTGCATCTTATCCCATCTCAAACTCCAATTACGGGAGTGCCCTTGAGCTGTGATATTAGTCAATGCCGACATAAATAAAAACAGTACTCCACTTCCACACAGTCGTGATAATATGAGTCAATGCCGACAAAAAAAAAGAGTGCTCCACTTCCACACGCATAAATAAATTATAGTAATCCAAATCGAATTGGCCTATTTTTCTCTCAATTTCCAAGATAACCACCATTCTCTGTAATTGGCATGGCCTGATATTTTAGAATTTTGTGTCTCAAATTTTTTATATTCCTAATCACTTCTATTTTTGGTGTTAGGGAATTTTTAAAAGACCTTTTTTATAATTTTTTTGCTTTTTAGATGTATTTATGTTATATGTGTTTAAAAAGTAAAAAAATTACTTAAAATATTAAAAAAATTCAGTAAAATCAAAAAAAAAAAAGAAAAAATAAAAAAAAAGAATTTTTTGAAAAATATTTTTGAAAAAATAAAACCAAACAAGCTGATTATTTCCCTTCCATTCCTAGTTCTTCTTCGTTCTATCCTCCAAAAGTCTTTTTTTTTTTTTTTAGCATCTCAAATTCATTAGATATATAATATTTAGGGGTTGTTTAGGATATCTTAAATAAGTGTATTTTTTTTATTTTTTTAACTAAAAAGTTGAGAAAAAAATATGAATATTTAAATAAACTTTTTACTTTTTACAAAAAATGTATATTAAAAAAGTGTATAAATAAGTGTATAGAAGAAGTTAATGTTGGAATAGGTCGTACAGTTGGAAGCGTAAGGGGCATAAATTGGAGATTGATTCTCTCCTTTTCGGCATAAATTGGATGGTGGTGTTCGACTTATGGGGGCCCACCACGGGTCCTATTTTGCTAATCGAAACCGTGCAATGTGTAGAACTCGTCGAGTACTATATGCTTGTAAAAAATTACATTGATTGGATCTCAATAGCTATCTGATCGTGTTAGTTTTTCTTGTCAACTGTTAACTATAACACCATCTATTTTTTGTACAAAATTGATTTGATCATGTAGTTATCGATTTCCGATTAACGTGATTTTTTACATTTCTATAGTTCTGGACGATTTCTACATATTGAACGGTTCGAATTATCAAAATGAGACCCGTAATGGCCTCCACCGGCCAACATTTCCGCCAAACTTAGTGATTTTATATATGTAATTCTTTTTTTTTTCCTCCCTCACAGGTACTAAAGGGTCAATTGAGCCCCGAAAATTGTGTAAAGTTTGTTTAGTTAAAATATTATGTATATTAATTTTTTAATATTTTTAATTTGTGAAATAGCGATAATTTTTTTATTTATTTATTTTTTTTTTGTAACTTTTTGACTTTTTCGAAACACCCCAAACTAGGCCTTAATAATCAAAATGTTTAATATAGTTTTTTTCCCTTTAATTTTAATGCACTAATCATTTGATTAGGTATTTTAATTTAACTTACATTGATTAATTACATGTAGTTCACTTCAAAGATTAGGCAAAATATATTTAATCATTAAGATTATTTTTTTTCATCTTTGTTGCTAATGTGTCATTCTACAAATTAACCATATTTAGATAAATAGTTAAAATAAAGAGTATGATTAAAATAAAACATAAAATAGTTGATAGAAAAAGTAAAATACATACTTTATAATAATGTTTAGATATGTAAAATGCTTATTAATGTTGGAGATACTCTTAACTCCCAAAAAGCGATTTAGAAAAATATATACATGAATAATATTATATATATCAATTAATATATCAATTAGTGTATTAACAAATGATTTAGTATAATTTTAGAAGTTTTAAATTTTATAATTTGTATAATGAGTGATGTCATATTTTTAAAATGATAATATCATAACTATGTTGATAGATTAATTAATATATTAATTGATACATACAATACTAAAAATATTATATGTATCAATTAATATAACAATTAATATATCAACACATAATATAATATAATTTTTAAAAATTTAAATCTTTATAATTTACATAATAGATACGGTTATAATTTCAAAATAATTGATACAGGTAATCTCTTGTTTACACTTAAAAAAAAAATTTCTTGACAACTGCGTCTGCATCTGCATCTGCATCTGCATCTGCATCTTATCCCATCTCAAACTCCAATTACGGGAGTGCCCTTGAACTGTGATCTTAGTCAATGCCGACATAAATAAAAACAGTACTCCACTTCCACACAGTCGTGATAATATGAGTCAATGCCGACAAAAAAAAAGAGTGCTCCACTTCCACACGCATAAATAAATTATAGTAATCCAAATCGAATTGGCCTATTTTTCTCTCAATTTCCAAGATAACCACCATTCTCTGTAATTGGCATGGCCTGATATTTTAGAATTTTGTGTCTCAAATTTTTTATATTCCTAATCACTTCTTTTATCACATGTGCATACTATCGGATATGCATAATTAGATAATGGAGAGAAGTGGAAGGGCAACAGATGGAAAGACAGATTTGACCTTTTCTCTCTTATGGGCAGATTAAACAAAGATCAATCTGTGCGTGAATGGTTATGTAAGATTCAGATAAGGCACCTTTTCTCTCTTATGGGCAGATTAAACAAAGATCAATCTGTGCGTGAATGGTTATGTAAGATTCAGATAAGGCAGCAGTAAAAAAATTTAAATCATACCGTAATGGGGTAATATCACAGAGTAATTGATTTTTCTTATTGGAGAGAGTTAGAGAGAACATGGGAAAAAATTAATTCGTTCTTCAATTCATCCAACATTCCATATATCGTACTTGATATGTAGGCCAGATTCTAGCTATCTGTCCATATCTCTTAATAGGATATGATAGATATAGATAGATTGTAAGTTATCCAAATAAGATAATCAAAAATTTAAATTCAAATTACATAATTAATTTGAATTGGTCATGGGTTATGCCACATGACTGCTCAAATTTGGGTCTAATACTCGGCTCAATTTCTAACAGTATTAATAACCGCCTAATAACAAACCGATGATGGATGAAATTCGTCGATGACAAATATTATTTTCATTATAAAATAATAATAATAATAATAAGGAATGACCAAAGATTAAATATTACCTACCCAAAAAACAGATTAAATATCAAAAAAATAAAATAAAATGAAAGGCATACCTTAAAGCTGTACTCATTTCCCCAATACATATAGGATTAAATCAAACCACACAAGAATATAAAAGAAAGTGACACCACAACCTCCACTCCACTACAAACACCACTTCACACTTATCTTTTCCAAAAAAAACAAATATTTCTCGATCATGAAACTTGTAAATTGAAAAAATCTCATACAACTTTAAATTGTTACAATATTGGTAATTTTGGTATTTTGTCCCTCTCGTATATATTATTTATTCAATAAAGAAAATCTATAATTTAACTAGATATAAAACCACCAAAAAAAAAAAAAAAAAATAGAGTTTGACCTTTATAACAAATTAAATTCTAACTTTTTAATTTTGTCAAGTTAAACCATAAACTATTTTATTATAAAAGTGTTTTTATTGTGTGTCCACCTCAACAAACTCCACTCATTCAAACAAGTGGTCTTAGTATATGTTAGTGCTGCCCAAAAGTGTGAGGTGGTAGTGTCCAGAGACGAAGGTGCCAACTTTGAATCTAACCCGTCCTTGAATCCTGATGGTAAGAATGACTGTTCCATCGGCCTGGTCCTGGCTGAGTCCAACGCCGTTGTATGGATCCACGGGGACGTTGACGCCTGACACTATGGGTGACCAAACGTTGATTTCCTTGTGGCCCTGATACGTGGATGGTATGGCGGTGTAGTAGGTGATCTGCTGGTTCTGGTAGATGGCGAAGATGTCGAGCTTGTCGTAGTAGACACCGATCTTGTCGTTTGGGTTACGGGATGCGATGGTGACTAGAATGGTGGAGGTGAGGAAGTTTGGTGCCGTGACGTTGAAGGCGTAGACGGTGGCGTCTTGGAGGACGAAGCGGGGTTTCTTGGGCTGGAGGATGGCCCATATTAGGAGGACGATTATTAGGATGATGAAGATCAAGATGAGGAGTCCACCGAAAAACCGCCGGAGCCTCTTCCTCCGCTTGTCCTTGTGGTGGCTGCACTCCTTCTCCGACATATGTTCCCTCCTCTCTTGGTCCTCGTGCTTTTCTTTGGTATTGGTTGGGAGAGAGAATTTTGGAGTGTGTAGTTTATTAAGATATATATGCAGTAGACTCAGTAAAAAACAACCCTTTTTTTTTTATGGGACAATTACTTCTTAGTTGTAGCAGTGGTTCTTATTTATCGGTCAGTGGGAAAAGTCTATAATTTCAATGTGAGTGGGACATTGGAAATTAAGGTGTTGTTTGAGGTGTTTTAAATAAGTGTATTTTTTGATTTTTTATGAAATATAGGTTGGGTATGGATTGAATTTGAAATGATGTGATAGAGAGGTGATGTAACTTAAATAAGATGATGTGATTTAAAAAAGATAGTGACTTTTTGACTTTTTAAATTTTTTTAAAAATGTCAAACTTGACCTAACTATCACGAAAATGTTGTGGGCATTAAATAATTTATTAAATATTTTATCAAAATTTTTACATAAATACGAGATCTATACAAATTTACCAGTGTGCCAATCCTATACTTATATAAGAGGTTTAATAAAATATTTAACAGATTATTTGGAATCTCCAATCTTACTAAGGGGTCTTTTGAGAACAATAGTAAAAAATTAATTTTTTAACTTTTTAACTTTTTAAACTAAAAAAAATCAATTTTTTTTACTTAAAACAACCCAACTTAAGTCAGTTTTTTTATTCAAAACAACCAAATTTTTTGTCAAAAAAAAATTAAAAAAATTAAAAATTAACTTTTTACCTAATTCCTAAAACATCACTACTATCAACTCATGGAAAATTTATTCCTACTCGCGCCTTTCCATGAATTTACTCTCACGCCTCTCAACTCTCTCTTTTTTCTCTCTCCCTCTTCTGTATGCTCTCTCTCTCTTCTCTCCCCGATCTCTTTTTCGCATCACACGTCTCTAGCCTCTCATTATTTTATTTTTTTCATTTCTTTTAAACTTTTATTTATTTTGAAAATCTATATGAGTGTTTGAAAAGTTGTTATTTTAATAAATTAGTTTAGTTTTTGATTATTTTGGTAAGTTAAAATTTTTATGTTGAAAAAAATAATTAGATTTTTTGTAGTTAAATTTGATGTTTGTGAGAAAAAAATAAAATAATTATGGATTTAATTTGATATTTTATCTTATTAGCTATTTTAATTTATTTTGTCTTTTTAAAAATTTTAACCTAAAAGAGACTAAAATTCTTCTTGACAAACACCCCCGATATATAACTTTTAATATAGGACTTTAATTTTTATAAAAATAATACCATTAAAAAGATATCAATGATAACTTTAAAATAAGACTAATATTAAGTCAATAATGTTAGGTGACCCGAATTTTTTTGGATTGAATTTCTTAAAATGACGTCGTTTTTGGTGTCAAACAATGTCGTTTTGACACATTCGAGTCACAAATATGAGTTGCAAAGCATTTTTCATATTAAATATATAAATTTAAAATTTAAAAATAATAACTTAAAATAGATATAAAAAATTATATTGTTATAAAAAAATGTGCAATTAAAATGAAATGTGTGACTGAAATTAATATGAACCAAAAAATTATTTAAAATTGTTTAAATAAAAGAAAAAATTACCAATTTGTAACATTTTGTAATTCTTGGACTAGTGAGATTGTTCTTGACACTCTTATTATTGTACTTGGAGCCTCTTTGGTTCATTTTGGATATTGATTGAGGTGGTATCATAATGGTAAAGTAAGATTAAAGCGGCAACATTGATTCGGATAATTGTTCCATGAGTAGCCTTCACTCTTTTGCCCATTTCTCTTTCCATACCTTGAATTTGGATGTGAGATTAAAACCATTGGAAAACTTGTTTCCGGGGCCTTGATTTGGACACAAGAACAACCTTGAAGTGAGCTTAGACAAAGCAGTTATGGCTGTTTGAAATTTGGATACCTATGTTGGAAGCAAGTTTGCTCGAGCGAACTTTTGACCGCTCGAGCGTTCTGCGCGAATTCTGAAACTTTAAAGTCACTTTTTAGTCCAAAATCTTCATTCTTTCTTTCTCTCTTCTCTCCCTCTGCTGCATACTCGAAACCCTAGAGCTCCAAACACTTGATTTTTCCAATTTTCCCCTTAAATCCACCCTAGATCCTTCAAGAAAATTGAAGAACAAGTCTAGTTCGAGATATCTACCGATTGTTTCGCATTTTCTTTGAAATTTCAAGTGAATTTCCATCTGAAGCTTCCATTCTTGAGGTAGAGGTATCTTTAACTTATTATATCTTTAATTTGAGACCCACATATGGTAATTTCATTAGATATTCACCTTTGTAGATATATATATATATATGTGTGTGTGTGTGTGTGTGTGTGTATGTGTGTGTGTGTGTGTGTGTGTGTGTGTGTGGATTGTGTTTGCTAATAAATGATTTGGAAGGATATGGGCAATAATTCATGATTATGGATGGAATTATATCTATTATTGAGGATTATTGTTGTTAATGATGAAATTAGTCTCTAATTCAAGAAAGAGAGAAAACCCATAATTTTCTACAAACCCTAGTATTGAAACTTGTTCAATAAAGAGGGGTTTTGCTCAATTGATTTTTAAAACATGAAATTGGGCGTGTTCATTCGACTTTGAGGTTGAAATATGAATTATTGGATTGTTGTGAATTGAAATCATCACAAGGGAAGCTGAAAACTTTAAATTCATACATCATTTACATTACTTAATTCTTCTTGTGATACTAATGTGTATGAATGGTTGGAAGATTTAAAAGGGGGATTTTTTCCAATTAGCCTCTAGAACCTAAAAATTAAGTGTATTTACTTGACTTTGATGTTGAAAAGTTAGACTGTGAGACTTTACACCACAACTGGAGATGGTAATGGTTATGAATTGAAGAATCTTCTCATTGTTGATATGTGAACTATTAAATTGTTGTGCATTAAAATTATTATAGGGAAATTGAGCTTTGGAAAATTCATGCATCATAAACTTTTAAAATTTTATCTTGTGACTTTTAAAATGTTGGCGTATTGAAGGAGTTGAAAGGGGTAAATAGTCTATGAGACTAGGTAGTGAGTTGGGCTTGGTTAAGTTGTGCAAAGTAATTGGTACCCACTGGAGAAGTCAAGGTGCCCAATTAACCTGTCTGCGCTTTATCGCCGAACGAATGTAGAAAATTTTTTTTCGGTGTCCACTGGTCTTACCATATAATAGTCGGCAAAAGTGGAAAAAAGGATGATTTTGAGTGTCTACGTCCTGTCGTATAACAATCGGCAAATGTGGAAAAACATGATTTTTAGGTATTTACGTTTTCGCACATTTCAGGAGTCGGCAAATGTAAAACAGAAAAAGGTTTTTGGGTACCCATCGCCTCGTCGTTTCTAGAGTCGGCAAATGTGGGACTATTTTCGGTATACAAAACCTATATCATCTATGTATGTATTTTGAATTGCAACTCTCTCTTTGGATGTCATAGTATATTTACCACCCCCGCTTTTAGAAGAATGATTATCTAATATACTGCATAGTCATTTAAACTTATAAAGAAGATTTACTTTAACATAATTTCTATACTTACATAGCATGATCATGTGTATTTCAATAAATTATATAATTTGTTAAATATACTTCCTACTGAGCATTCGCTCACCCCCAAAACTAACCATTTTCTGGAAATAAAGTTGACGAGCCACCTAAATGATTTACTATGGAAAGCAATTTGGACGAAGCATGAATGATCACTTGTTTGATATTTTGTGTTGAAGCCTTAGGGTTATTTTGTATAAATATGAAGGATTTTATTTTTAAATCATGGACACTTTTGATGGAGTGTTGTCCCTTTTTGATTTCTCTATTTTGCATAACTTCTTAGCTTTGGAACTGTTTCATTTTAACCATAGATATAAGGTGACTGTATTAAAATTCTTGGGAATAGTTCAATGGGGAAAAAGTGTTATGGAATTGTATTATTATTTCTTTTTTTTTCTATTTGTATCTATGTGGGATGTGATAGGGGAACGGGATTTGGGAGATGCTTTCTCAGGGCATTATAAATTGGTATCAGAGCTAACCTGGTTTGAATACCTTGGGCTCGTGGGAAGTGACACTCGTCACAATAGAAACCTAGGCTAGGATGGAGCGTTTATGTGCTTTGCATGCTTTGTGTGTTTATGTGGCTTTTGCATGCTTTGTGTGTTTATGTGGGTATGAGGTTAAGCTTCTAGGATACAACTTGCACCTATTGCATTCATCGAAATCCTTTTGGAAAGGCACTTGATCAATGCTTTTTCCACTTGGAAGTCCTTGAGCGTCATCGTCGTGGGACAAGTTGATATCTCAGAAGAGTGATCCGTATATGCTCTGTGTGACTATGTGCTTATGTGGTTTGCCTTATGTGGTGTAGATATATGTACAGGTGTATGTTTAACTTACATGTGACGTGTGGGAATTTGTATGGAGTATTAAACCGTGAGTTGATTTTGTCTTTACCTCGAGGATGTTTCTCCCTAGGAAAAGGGGTAAGGTAGACTACAAGGGCTAGACTGATGGGTCAATATGATTTAGAATTTACATTGGATCGTAAGTTAAATGGTTTTGTAGAATTATGAGGAGTAGCTATTTTTGAAGTCTTACATTAAATTGTGAAAGTGAGCTATATAAAGGATTTTGGAGGTAGAGCTGGTTAGAAATTAGACTAGTTGTAGTAGTACAGTGTTGAGGCTTAATTGATAAGTGGAGTGACAGTAAAATGTCTTAGAGTGATGATGTCAGAATAAGTAAAAGCTAGTTCTAAATTTCTTTGGGATGAACTAAGTTAATTGTGGTTAGAATGCTCTAATTGTTTGATTGACTATTTATGAGGATTGTGTTGGGTCTTAAGCCAATTATTTTGATATGTATTTAGAAATATGCGTGGTCTTAACATGAAAGAAATTGTAAGGTGTAGTGAGAGATGCATTTTTCAGAGAGCTTATCTAGTTCAAAATATTGTAACAAGTCTAGGTGAATGAAGTAGGTAAAGATGTTTGGGATGAGAATGAATTTGATTTAAGTCGCACTTTGTGATTAAATTTCTAGTGATAGAAAATAGTGAC